CCACAAACGTTAAACTGTTGGACAATCAAAATGCATTCATTTAATGGAAATATCAAATTAGGAACTTTTTGTTTTGAATAATTTTGATACAAAAAAATATTCTTTGCTTTGTTAAAAAAATATATATATAAATTAAAATTCTAAGATTCAATGTTAGATTTCAGCCCCTGCCTCAAGTGCATTGAAGCAGGACCTATTCATGTCAGTCGGACTATTAATTTTCCTTTTTTCTTCTTACGGTAGTTTTTAGGTTCAAACCTTCTCTACATAAGTAACCCCTACTGACAGGGAAGGTATTTTGTAGATACACCTGTTTTAAACAGCTCAAAACAAATATGATTTAGGATATAAGAAATGCATATATATATATATATATATATATATATATATATTGCATATTTTATACTAACTGCTTAGAATATTGATACAGTAATATTATTTTAGTATATTACTGTATCAATATTCTAAGCATTTAGTATATATATATATATATAATATATATATATATATATATATATATATATATATATATATATATATATATATATATATATATATATATATATGAATAAGCCCCAACTATGATATGTTAATCATTCTGGTAAGGCCTGCTGAGGTTGAGCCCTTGAATAGAAACATGAATGAATACAGTAAATTTAGGGCATTTATTTTCTAAATAGAACAGTATAAAGCTTTCTCTGACAGATTTCAGGTGATCAGCTCTTCATCTCTAAAACAGCAGGTGGCAGCACACCACAATTGTTTTAAGATTAGCAAAGAACTATGTCAGAATTAATTTTTAGATTAGATTAGAGTCAACTTTATTGTCATTACACATGTACAGGAACAAGGCAACAAAATGCAGTTTAGGTCTAACCAGAAGTGCAATAGCAGCAAGTGCAGGATAAAAAATGGTTCCATAAATACAGGACGTGGGTATTTCTACTGAATGAGTGTAGAGATGAATACTATTATAAATAATAAATATAATATATAGATCACTAGTGTTATGAACTAAATTTACAGCTGGATATGTACCAAATATAATATACAGATGGATATTACTATTAAAAAAAGTTTTTTACAGTTATGTACAATAGCTTAATATACAGATGGGTTTTACTATAAAATGAATAAATAGAGTTTGGGCAGAAGCTACCGTATCTAAATTAAAGTGCAGTGGAAGGTAATTGCAAAGAACTATGTCAGAATTAATGGAGCCTAAGCAGTAAATAGATTCCTATTATAATTCCTATTTTTGTATCTGATACATTTCTGATACTGGTATTGGAATTGGAACAACCCATAAAAAAAAAATTATAAAAAAAAAAAAAAATAATATATATATATATATATATATATATATATATATATATATATATATATATATATATATATATATATATATATATATATATATAAACAAAATGGGTGAATTTTTTTTCTCATACACTATATTGCCAAAAGTATTTGCTCACCCATCCAAATTATTGGAATCAGGTGTTCCAATCACTTCCATGGCCACAGGTGTATAAATTCAAGCACCTAGGCATGCAGACTGTTTTTACAAACATTTGTGAAAGAATGGGTCGCTCTCAGGAGCTCAGTGAATTCCAGCGTGGAACTGTGATAGGATGCCACCTGTGCAACAAATCCAGTCGTGAAATTTCCTCGCTCCTAAATATTCCACAGTCAACTGTCAGCTGTATTATAAGAAAATGGAAGTGTTTGGGAACGACAGCAACTCAGCCACGAAGTGGTAGGCCACGTAAACTGACGGAGCGGGGTCAGCGGATGCTGACGCGCATAGTGCGAAGAGGTCGCCAACTTTCTGCAGAGTCAATCACTACAGACCTCCAAACTTCATGTGGCCTTCAGATTAGCTCAAGAACAGTGCGCAGAGAGCTTCATGGAATGGGTTTCCATGGTCGAGCAGCTGCATCCAAGCCATACATCACCAAGTGCAATGCAAAGCGTCGGATGCGGTGGTGTAAAGCACGCCGCCACTGGACTCTAGAGCAGTGGAGACGCGTTCTCTGGAGTGACGTATCGCGCTTCTCCATCTGGCAATCTGATGGACGGGTCTGGGTTTGGCGGTTGCCAGGAGAACGGTACTTGTCTGACTGCATTGTGCCAAGTGTAAAGTTTGGTGGAGGGGGGATTATGGTGTGGGGTTGTTTTTCAGGAGCTGGGCTTGGCCCCTTAGTTCCAGTGAAAGGAACTCTGAATGCTTCAGCATACCAAGACATTTTGGACAATTCCATGCTCCCAACTTTGTGGGAACAGTTTGGAGCTGGCCCCTTCCTCTTCCAACATGACTGTGCACCAGTGCACAAAGCAAGGTCCATAAAGACATGGATGACAGAGTCTGGTGTGGATGAACTTGACTGGCCTGCACAGAGTCCTGACCTCAACCCGATAGAACACCTTTGGGATGAATTAGAGCGGAGACTGAGAGCCAGGCCTTCTCGTCCAACATCAGTGTGCGACCTCACAAATGCGCTTCTGGAAGAATGGTCAAAAATTCCCATAAACACACTCCTAAACCTTGTGGACAGCCTTCCCAGAAGAGTTGAAGCTGTTCTAGCTGCAAAGGGTGGACCGACGTCATATTGAACCCTATGGATTAGGAACGGGATGTCACTTAAGCTCATATGTGAGTCAAGGCAGGTGAGCAAATACTTTTGGCAATATAGTGTATTTTTTGCTTTTATTTCCATTTTAGCATTAGCAAATATAAAGAATATGATTAGTTATGGTTACTATAGGATCTTCGTCAATACATCACACTTCTTTATCAAACTGAAGTCCTAAAAGACTAAAGTTGCAATGTTTTTGAAGAGTAGAATTTGTGATTGTGGTATAATTGCTGGGGATTGCAGTGATGGCTACACAGTTGCCTAAGAACTACTTAAAATAATTAATGAAGAGTGTTTTTAATCACCAAATTTATCTTTATCACAATAGTGTATCACAAAACATAATGCGATTTTAAGGTCATATCGCCCAGCCATTTTCTAAACTATTCCATAAAATGTAAAATCAATCATCATATTAGAGAAAAAAAAAAGTGGTAATATCATTAATATTTATGACAAGGAGTATACCAGTATGACACAAATAAATATTTGTCCTAATCCTTGTTAGTAATCAGGATTCATCCAGCTGCTTCTGTTACCTTTGGCATATTAGAAACAACAATCTAATTGATGTGTGCAATTTTCTTCACTCCTACAGCTGGATATGTAGTAGTGAGGCTTAAAACTTTCCTTTTTGATAAAGCTTATAGTTAGAGTGGCTCAGGTTACCCTGAGCTATCTCTATAGTTATGCTGCTATATGCTTAGACTTCTGGAGGACATAGGGACCCCTATTTCATCATTCTGCTTCATTCCATCTCTATTCTTCCACTCTGCAGAATCTGCTAGTTCAGTCTGTAATATTCTGCTCTCTTTGCTTCTTCTCATAGTAGCTTTGCCTCGTCTGTTCCTGTTTGGCTGTCACGCCATCCTGGAGAGAAATATCAGCTGTGCTGCTGCCATCAACACCATTGTTTATATATGTTTGAGATCGCCCTGTTTTCCAGTGTGGTCCTGTTCTCTGACCGTGACTGGCTGGATGTGCTCTCTTCATCCTCTGGCATGGGAGTTGGCTCGGAGCTCGTCTGCCTGGCTGTGTGTTTCCTGGACGGGGACGCCTTTTACAGCTGCTTTTTGTGTCTCTGCTTCTATCTCCTTGAACCCCAGTCGGCCTCGGCAGATGGCCGCTCACACTGAGCCTGGTTCTGCTGGAGGTTTCTTCCTGCTAAAAGGGAGTTTTTCCTCTCCACTATCGCTCCAAGCATGCTTAGTGTGAGGGATGACCTTCGAGTCAATGAGTTGATGCAATCAACTGGTTTTCCTTAGATAGAAAACTTTGAATCAATTTGACTGTATGATCTGGTTGAACTGTAAAGTGCCTTGAGATGACATGCGTTGTGAATTGGCGCTATATAAATAAACCAAATTGAAAATTGAAATTGAATTGATATCTCTTTGGCATTCAAAGCTTTAACTCCGAAATTTTAAGGAAAATAAACAGCAAATATTTAGTTGTAAACCATTCTATGCAAACTACCACAATGCATTAACCATACATTGTGCTGCCATAATGTCACTGCATACTGCAGATTTGTCAGAAGAACTGAAAGGTTTCTAAAAGAAAAAAAAGTGTTACTTCTGACCAGGTTCTAATATTAGTGTTTAAGAAATCATAAATCTTTATCATTGAAATGTAAAGTGTCAGTTCTTTGCATGCCCAGAAAAGAACCTGTCAACCTGTCAAAACTTCAGCAAAATAGAGGGTAAAGCATGTTTTCCTTCCTAAAATCACACATTACTGCCAAGTTATCACAGTACATGTCGCAATCTGGCGCATGACATACAAAGAACGCACCAATCACAGATGAGTCCTGAACAGTAGAGGGCACACATGTGTGCATTTATTCCTTTTTGAGTTATTGAGCAGTTTGACAGTAAAATAAGTAGGAGAGACGATCTTAAGCATTCCACACCAACGTAAGGCACAAAAAGCTCTTTAGAATAATGTTTTTGGCTTTTATGAGAGAAAAAAACAAAGTATTATGATTCAATTTAAAGTCCCTCTGGAATACCTAATCAAAAAAGCATTAGTTCCAATTTTATGGCAGCAGGTCGTTGACAAAGTTGATCTGATGACAACACTAGATACTTAACAACAGCCAGCATTTTAATTGTGTTTTTACAATGCTAAAAACCAACCATCTCCCTCTGGTAATCTGGATCCTGGAACACATCTATATTCCTGAATTTAATCTGCTCCTGATTAATGAGAAACTTTATTCTGTGACAGTGACCCCATCAACAACAAAAACTGATAAGCAAAGTGCATTAATCACTTATATATACACCTGAGAGCTGTCAGATTAAACTGAAGCTGTCTTTAAAACAATGCAGAGCAAAGATGATCTCCATAAGACCTGACCTTGGACTTGAGGGCCCAGTACTCCTCTGTACCGTAGTCCACATGTTTGAAGGCCGTCAGATAGTCGTAGCTGATCACCGCTGTCTGAAACATAAACAGGGGGGGTAAATATGTGCAGCTTTTTTAAATGAAAGTAGCAGCAAAAATAATAAAAAAAAAAATTTAATGTCTTAAAATTTCGACCTTAAACCACAGTCCTGATTTATCCCTTTATTTCATCACCTGTTTCCCGTTTTAGTTCAAGCCCCAATTCTATCTAGCATTAAAATCTTTTAAAATGGGTAGTTGAAGTATTTCAGTCCCAACACCAAAGTTTACTTTCCTGTAAGTTTCCCTTGCACTGCAGAAAGCTAAGATTGACCATCCTGACCAAAACCCGATGACAGGATATTATCTTTTTCGATACGTTGTCAATCTGTTTATACAAACATTCGATCCTAGTGAGATAATTTTAGAAAGGATACTAAGCAATACTATTTTGTACAAAACTAAAGGGATAAATGGGTTTTGACTATGGATATGCTGGTCTGACGGGGTATGCTGATCTGACAGAACACTGGCACCATAGCTGTATTTTTTTACTACCCCAAAACTATGTGACAAATTTCATTATAAAGTTGAAACTTTATGAATGGGCTTTGTAAATTATAACACTTATTAGATGAGTTTAAAGTTACTCTTGGCCATCTAGTTTTCATTATTTCTCTGCAGATGTATGCAAGTCCCCAAAGATTTTACTCCTGCAGACACTTGAATAGTCTTATGTCACTTTTGGTTGAAAATACTGCTCCATGGAAATGTGAAGCCATCTACCAAGAGGGAAAGAGAGAAATATACTTCTTTGGCCAAATTTATGCCTGAAGTTACGTGGTACAGGCCCCTCCATGCAGTGTGCATGCAGCCTGGTTTTCTGCAACGCTCACCAAGAAATATTTGCACCTTGACAGTTCAGCCCAGAAAAAAAATGTTGGACAGGTAACAGCTCGAACTGCAAGGGTTTGGCAAGTATAAAACTCTAGAGAAATCTTATGATATGACGCATAAATACCACTATTAATCGATTGTGAAAATATCTTGAAAATAAATGACTTGAGTCTTGAATGACAAATAGAGGCTTTAAAAGTGTTGGAAACAACTTTGTTTTCTACTCCTACATGTTTAATCTGTGCCGTCCTCAGCCTGCTAAAGTTGGCTAGAATAGTATCTACAGGGGGAAAAGCAGCGCAGTGTATAAAAACTGCTAACGCTGTTTCCCACGCATCGAGTTGATAAAGGAGTTCCCCTCTAGATACTATGGAGACGATTTCACAGATTGAAGTTCTTCATAAAATGAATAACAATTGGGACAACAATGAGCATCAGCTTCAGAAAACTGTTAGATTTTATCAAAGCTTTGTCCAGATCTACTTGAAGACAGACTGTTGCAGAATATTCTTCCTTCCTACAGCGATTAACCTCTTCAACAACTTCAAAAAATGAGATATGATAACATTTATATTCCCTTTACAATCAATAAAATATTTCTGAAATGAAGATTACTAAAAGGTCCTAGAAGGCATGATTACTAGACCCCACTTTGATGCACTTGCTGCTGTTAAATTTTGATTTAGATCAAATATTATTTTACTTTTTTTAGGATTTTGTTGAAAAATTGCTCTTTATACATAGTTTTTAGGCAGGATTAAGTACAAATAGCCTCTATGCATATGGAGCCTATAGCCCTTTTATTGTATTTTAATTAAATAATTTTTAAATGGTCTGGCCCACTGTTATTAAACTAAGTAGCATGACCTTCAGACACTTGAGGGACCAACAGTACATGGAGCCTTATCCTATCAGTGCAGCAGAGATCAGAACTAATACACAAAGGTAATCGGTCTTATTTTGCCTCCTTATATCTGTAGCCAAAAATTTGAAATTAACTTCCTTAAACTAGCTTTTTAAACTTTGCTTGGAGTCACATTTGTGTTTTTCTTTTCTGCTTTGTACCCTTCATTTAGTATTAGATTACACACATTTTTGCGCATCGTTTTTACTTATCTTTTATATTAATACTTTTTATTGTTTGTTTTATTAGTCTCTTAATAGCACATGGGTCAAGATTACCGCTTTAAATCTGCTAAACACACAGATTACTGCTGGTTTTCAAAACTATTTTATTGTTGCTACGTAAATAACAAATGGATTAGAACTATTCTAAAGTAACTCATATTTGTAAAGATAAGTGATGTACAGATCCACATAAATAAACCCAACAGCTTGGGCCACTGGCATCAGATTTAGAAAAATTAAGAGTTTCATCTGCTTTTATATCTCTCTAACTTTAAAACTGGTTTTAAAAATGTCTAGGTTCATATTTTGGATAAAGTTATATTTCTAACATGCATTTTCTGCTTTTATATCTGACAGTTTTTACCATGTGATCACCTGCTTGCCAGTGTTTTATAAACCTGAAATCCAAAGAGCTCCTTCAACAAAAGCAAAACTCAGCAATAACATTTCCAAACCACAGTAAATGTCTCTAGAAAGCTGGACTTCAACCCAAACCAGACATGCAGTTACATCTGAGGTTGGTTTAAACTCACGGTGGCTGCAGCTCGTCCGAAGCGGATCACGCTGAGGTCACTGAGGTCCAGCTGCCTGCTGTAGAGGTAGAAGCCTGAGGAGGCGAACACTGCTGTGGCCAGAGATGAGACTTTGAGGAGCCGACCCGCCATTGGAGGTCTGCGGGAGGAGAAAGAAATCCGTATATAAAGACTAAAACACAGAAAACAACCAGTGCTCTTTGTTAAAGATACTACAGAATAGAAACGAATTAAATGACAAAAACGAAGGGCAGATATCAGCCTTTTTTTGACTAAAGAAAACATCCTGACCCTGATTTCGGAATATGTAAAAAGCCTTGGAATATATACAAGAAATCTCATCACTTAAAATGTCCCTTGATAAAAATCACTTAAACATCTTCTGATATTAACGCTGCAAAGGGCTGAGAAGTTTCCAGTATCATCTCTGTCAACATGAGGAAGACGCCGCTAATCTAAATCAAATTTTTAATTCCAGATAAAAGAAGGAAAAACAAACAGGTCTGATATATACTGAGTTTACATTTAGGTTCCTACATTCTGTAGGGAAAACAATGAGTCCCCAGCATAGGAGACAAAGCAGCAACAGCTGAGGTTTATTATCTATGTTTTGATGCACAGGCTACTGGCTTCACACAGTAACAAACGAAGACATGATGAAGTCAGAGTCTGAGCTAAACATTCTGTGGTAATATTGAATAAAAATCATAAAAATTTATTTTATATGAGCTTTATTAGGCCTTTTGTGTAGCTTTGTTGAGGTTTTCACCAAGATATTGCACTGGAAAAAAAATCTAAATGTATATAATTAATTTTCTTCTTAAAATAAGTGCATTTGTTCTTGAATTGAGAAGGTAAAAGAGGCATTTTGCCAATGGGACAAGAAAATTTACATTTAAAAAAAGAAAACACAATTGCATTGTCTTATTTCAAGTGCATTGTATCTAAATACTCATTCCATTGGCAAATCATCTCATTTACCTACTCACTCCTATTTACTCAGGGTAAATGCACTTAATTTGAGAATTTTTTACTTATTTCTAGATTGTTTTTCCAGTGTGTTGTGACCTTCAGCTCATCTGTGCTGTTGCATCTTTTGAATGATTTACTTCAACTATGCAGGATGAAGGCAACTAACCTCTGGTTCTGCTGATGCACAGTGAACCCTAGACTTTAATACTATTATTCAGGTCATATATATTGCTCAATCTGGCCTCTCTCATTTTCCACTTGACGATAACTAAGGAACTGCAGTTCCAGTCCTTCTTAGGTCTTTATAAGGGAATCTGGGACCTGGATTTTTAAATTAAATGCAAAAGATACTTGAAAAATGGCCATTTAACAACAATAATTAGTTGTTTTTTAACCAACTTACTCCAGGAGTGACCTCTCTGACTTTGTCTTTGCTTCCTACCTGGTAGTAGGGGTGTCAAAAGTACACACATTTGTTACTGCAGTTGAAAAACACTGGTAAAAGTTGAAGTATCAACTTGACCTCTTTACTCAGGTAAAAGTGAAAAAGTATGTGCTCCAAAAACTACTTAAAGTATAAAACTATAAAGTAACCTTTAAAAAAAAAAACAGCCAGATCCTACTATATGAATTGAAAGCAAACATTTTTTCGACTATTCCGAAAAATTCTTGGAGATAGGGCCAAGGATGAGGGAGGTCTTTTTGGTCTCTGTCTCCATCTTCTGATACGCTCTCGCCTAAAGGCCCATTCATACCTCACGTAAAAGACGGATACGGATACGTGTGGAGTGTTTCATACGTTCTAACCGTCGATTTCGGCCGTACTTTGACACGAAAATTGGGAGCTTACGCTTACGGACGAAACGGATCAATACGGAGCAATACTACCGGAAACGGTGGGGGCGCTATTGAGTTTTTAGTACAAAATGTCAACAAAATCACAAAGAAGGTTAGAATTCTGGGCTTTAAACAATGGCGGGAGGTGTTCCCCAGCAACAGCAGCAGTGCCATGTCTGAGGCGGTGGTGCCCGACGCCATGGTACCCCCAGCAGTGGGCAGTCTGTATGGGGAGAAGGCCGCTGGAGCTGTGGTGGACTTCAGCTATGTGGGCATTGATGCCATTCTGGAGCAGATGAGGAGAAAAGCCATGAAGCAGGGCTTCGAGCTCAACATCATGGTAGTAGGACAGAGTGGCCTCGGAAAGTCGACTCTGATGAACACTCTCTTCAAGTCTAAAGTCAGCAGGAAGTCTGTACTGGGCACAGGCCAGGAGAAGATCCCTAAAACCATAGAAATTAAGTCCATCAGTCATGACATTGAGGAGAAAGGAGTCCGAATGAAGCTGACTGTCATCGACACACCAGGATTTGGAGACCAGATCAACAATGAGAACTGCTGGCAGCCCATCATGAAGTTTATTAACGACCAGTATGAAGCATACCTCCAGGAGGAAATTAACATCAACAGGAAGAAAAGGATCCCAGACTCCAGAGTCCACTGCTGCATTTATTTCATCCCCCCAACTGGTCACTGTTTGCGGCCCCTTGATGTAGAATTTATGAGGCGTCTCAGTAAGGTGGTCAACATCGTCCCGGTCATTGCTAAGGCAGATACTCTCACACTGGAGGAGAGAGACTTCTTCAAAAAGAAGATCAGGGAAGAGCTGCGAGCCAATGGGATTGATGTATACCCCCAGAAAGAATTTGATGAAGATGCAGAGGACAGAATGATTAATGAAAAGATCAGAGAGATGATCCCGTTCGCAGTAGTGGGCAGTGATCAGGAGTACCAAGTGAACGGAAGAAGGTTGCTGGGGAGGAAGACCAAGTGGGGCACGATTGAAGTTGAGAACATCGCCCACTGTGAGTTTGCCTACTTACGAGATCTTCTTATCAGGACCCACATGCAGAACATTAAGGACATCACCAGCAGCATCCACTATGAGATGTACCGCGTGAGGCGCCTCAATGAGAACAACACTGCGGTGACTCACGCCAACTGCATCCCCGAACATCACCTGACCGCTCACGAGATGTAGGCCGTCGTCTGTAGAGTAAAACACCAACTACAAGACTTGATCTTGTTCTTCCCTCCACTCCAGCCCTGATCTCACAGGTGGGGTCCAACGTAAAGTCTGCCAGAGGGACTTTATCATCTGCAGCTTCCAGGACTCTTTGTTTATTGCTTTTTTTTAACCATATCCTTATTGATGACAAACAGAGAACAAAGGGTTCTGCCTTCAAGTTTTGCTGCAGCTTGGTTTTTATATTCCTCTCCTGTCTTACAAATCTTATCGTTCATATTTTTGGTGCCAAAGTGTTTCTCTCTACCAAACTGACCAGTTATCTGATTTGCTTTAATAGGTTAAACAAGTTTGTTGTTTCATTTCAATGGTAAGCCTTTGTGCAGCATTAGAAGCACAGTTTCATCTAGAACACCAATATGCATGAAAACTGATAAAGATCATGTTTTAAGGTGATCATTATGTAACCAGAATGTGTTTGAGGAGAGTAGGGGAGCTCTTTCTCAACATGTCTGACCTTCAACCAACCAACCAACACTAACTACAGCTACAGGTTGAAGTAAAGCACATGATGTGCCTTAGATTTTTCTCTCTCTGCATCACATCCTGTGTTTTGGTTTTATTCTTCTATGTTCATATCCTGTTAAATATAAATCTCAACTCTCTTTAACCATCAGCATTATTTAGTTGGAATATCTTAAAGAGTGATTTAAGATACAAAAAAAGTATTTATGCACGCTTTAAAATGTGAACATTTCTCACAGCTTTTCTTCCACTTATTCAGGAACGGTAACAGCAACATGCTCTCAAAAGTTTTTCCTGCTCTTATTGGGTCCTCCTCAGTGCCTTATTTATTGGGGGATGATTTGCGATTTTGTCGGCCGAAACTGGAAAGAAAAGCAGGTTTTTTGATTCCACCTTTTAAAATATCATTTAACATCCTTTAGTCCTCTTGTCGTTTTATCTTCCATTGACCAGACAACCTTCTGTTCTGTTGATCATAATGTACCAATAATCTTTTCCTGTCATGCATATCTAATGTCCTGTCATTGCCATGCTCTATTGTATATTCCTCTGTGTTCTGTGATACAGTTTTTTAGTTGTATTATTGATAAAGTTTTCTTTATCTTATTTTAAAGAAATAAAGATTGAAGTTTTAAATGTTAAAAAAAAAAAAAAAAAAAAAAAAAAAAAAAAAAAACAATGGCGGGATTCGAGTAACGACTCTCGGAGCTTGCCCAGCACTGCCACCTAGAGGAAATACGGGTTATTGCGCACCTCAACGGACGGAGGTATGAAGGAGTCAACGGATAGAACGTACGGACAGAAATACGGACGTGCAGGCCAAACGTGAGGTATGAATGGGCCTTAAGTCCGACTTTTCAGACATTTCAACATCTTTTTCTGAATCCAACATTGTAGCATGGCATAGACAATTCATGTTTGCAGTTTGAAGAACACCTGCTTGCTTCTGATGATTTCCTTTAGCTAACCAATGAGTGTTTGTGTTATGCGACTCATCCAATGACACTAGTTTTCACTAGATGGATGGCACCAATTATCTGCATTGGATGGCGCACATGACGTGAAATAAATATCTATAAACATTAAACCGAAGCCATGAGTAACGAGTAACATTTGCTTTAAAGATGAAAGGAATAGAAAGTAGAGATACTTATGTGAAAATATAATGAGTAGAAGTCAGAGGTAGGAAAAAAAATAAGTAATGGAGTAGAGTATAGATACCTAAAAAGTGTACTTAAGAACAGTAACAAAGAATTTGACACCTCTGCTCTTATCTAACATAGAAAAAGCTTCCTTAACAGTAAGGTTATTCACCAATTATCATGAATCTCACTCATTAAAAACCAATATAATGTCACTGGGATAAATAAAATATGTATGGAATACAATACAAACATTTTTCTGGGACTGAATTGTATCTGTAAGTTATGATGATTTAATATATAAATTGATATAAAACATTTAAACTATGCCCTCTGAGTAACATTAGTCTAAATTTGAGTTGTTGTTTTTTTTATTAGTGAAAATCCATTGTTTTTTTTTTGCAAGCTTCCTGAGTGAAATGTAAAATAATCGTCCTGATAAAGGGAGCTTATCTAATGTGCTAACAGTGTTGCTTAATAAAGATTCTCTGATTTGAAGGTTTTTACACGTGGCTTTAAATGTGAAATGACAGCTTGTGATTGTGAATAAAACCCATTCTTATCTTCTCACCTCACGCAGCTAGACAGCCTCAGGTGTGAAATCCAACTCCTGATTAAACCTCTTCCCGTCCCTCCGACAGCCGCCTACCAACGGGTCAAAACAACATCCGCAGGTTCAGTCTTTTTTTAATAGACATATTTATAATGTTTAGCTTAAGAGGGCTGACTTGAACGTCTCTCGAACATTTAACTTATGCAACCACTGTTTGGTGAGTCTGAGCAAGTTCATAACAAATTGCAACCTGTCTCACACACACACACAGCTGCCTTGAGTTAAAATATCTTCACTTTATTCAAAAATAAAACACGACCAGCACATCACTCTCCTTCACTCACCGGTTTGATTTGTGACCCCTTCTCCGGGTTTTCGAAACATGACCGAGGAATTCTGGGTAATGTAGTTCCAAAGGGAAATATAACCAAAAGTTTGTATTCCAAACGGAAGCCTGTCTGAGACTCACACAATAGAAATGTATTTATAATGTATATTGGATCTAAAAGAAATATACTATGCCTTCATATTTGGTAAATATATTTAATCTACTCTTCTAGTGACCTTAGTGACGCCTTCATTTGCGTCACGGTCAAAGGAAAGCGTTGGTGCGTCGTGCTGCGTTCACGTAAATCTGGGAAATCGGAATGCATTCAAATGATGAGCAAAGGGTTTAAGAGGCATGCACTATTTGCTTTAATAAAAAAAAAAAATTCATAATGCAATGTGAAGGCGGTCTTCCCCGTCAAACTGTTAAGAATAATGAAACGTATTATGTCGTATTAGAATTTATTTCTTTTTCAACGCAATATAAAATATTATCCTTCCCATTCAAGATACTATTTTGCTACTTCCTCGGCAGGTTGTTTTCTTTAAAAATTTGTACCACTATTCATTTCAGTTAAAAAAAGAACAATAAAATACTAGATTCTTTTGAAGTAAAAATAAATACATTTTTTAAAAGTACAGCAAAGTACACATATTTTGAGAGGAATACAATTTTTGGGTTGAAACACACATTACATTTTTATATTAAAGAAATGAAAAACTGAGTACTACATTCTTCTGAACAAGAAAAAGTTTCAATTTTCCTTTTTCAAAATATTGTATAAAAAATCTGAATAGCATCATGCTAAAATGTGCTGCATTCACTTTGAGCATTTTTCTTGTGAAACCTTGTCTGTGAAAATGTGCTATACCAATAAAAGTTACTTTGCTGAAAATAAAGTATTGCAACACAAATATATCTATATTTCTTCCTGTAAAATAAGTTGAAATAAAAAATATCCTCCTGCTAATTTCCATAAAAATTGAAATTAAATTTATTCGAAATGTTTTTAAAAAAAGATTAATACTTCATACAAAGAATATTAAATACAATAATATTATAATATAAACATATTAGCCTCATTGATACCAGGTTTTGAGCAAGGTCTTCTTCTCAATGGTCTGAATGTATAAACCATCCACAAAATACTGTTTAAGGAAAAACAGAAATGTAGATAAATTTTTGCAAATTCTGTAAAGGGTTTTTAAATATCCAGGCAAAACCTTTTTGGACGCTATAAAGAAATATGTGGCTTTAATAAATATTTGTTAGCTTCCACTCATGTGGGACCAGGTCGCAGTGGGCAGCAGTCTGAGGAGACACTTCCCTCTACCCTGACACCTCCTTCAGCTCTGCTTGGGAATATTCCACACCAGCAGAGAGACTTCCCTCCAGCTTTTTCAAGGCCGTTCCCCGAGTCTCCTCCCAGGGAAGCAGGGGAAAAATGAGGAACCGGTGCAAATAAAACTAAGCAGCAGTCTGAGGCCTCAGCCATAATGACAAATTAATCTTATTCCCTGGGCACATTCTATATGATTTTATGCATATGTATTATAAACATTATAAAAACAGAGTGAAATGGCAACAATAAACACTTTTTATTGCTTAAAAAAACAGACACTATGTGAGGGAGAGGAATATTTCTCACAATAAATACAGAATTTATTAGAGGACAAAACTTAAAATAAAACTGACAATGTTGTTGCTCAGTTCCAGTGAGACTGGATAAAGAAAAAATCCTTTTTGATGTTGGGATCCAGACACATTGATCACGTTTTTTGTCTGAATTGGCTGTTCAAATACAAAGAAGCTGGAATAATGGAGTCTGACAACAAAAAAAAAAAAAAAATTAATCTGTTTGGTCTGATCGGCTCAGCAGAACCACATTTTCAATCAGAGTCTCCGTCTTTATTGGACCTCTGTCCTGCGAAGGGACGTCTGTTCCTCTGAACCTGAAGCTGGAACAAAATAACATCATCAGTAAATCTAGTAAGCTGACCTTTTCTTTTTAATACTGAAACCGTTCAGACCACCTAGAAATGTGTTTTTGTCGTTTACCTTTGCTCCTTCCAGAATATGGGGGTCCTTCTGCAGAGCATTGTTCAGTCCTTCCTCTGTGGAGAATCCAACCCAGCAGAAACCTCTGTGGAAGCCGGTCTCTTTGTCCTGATCCATCACAGAGTACACATTGAGACAAATATCCCCCCACATAAACAGTGCTCAATATGACCAGAGCAAATATTTTCCATCTTGATCTTTTCAAATCACTTATCAGCTTAAAAAAACTTACAAATGGAAGGAGACACCTCTTTACTGTGCCGAACTGTCCGAAATACTCTTTCATCTCCTCTGAAATATAAACAGATCAGTTACGAATTCAGAACAGATAAATGTATCCTCTCATATCCTGAAGTTGAACAGATTTATTTAATACAAATAATAATTAAGTTCACCAGTTCATGTTAAATGCTACTGTAGTCTGGAGTATTTCAGACCTGGAAAGGAAGATGTTTTGGCATGTTTATGTTACTTTATCTGTATCCATTTATTTAGATACATTTCACAATAACATGAATTAAAGTCTAATTTTACTCCAGCTTACCTCAAACCAAGCTGACTGTAGGGTGTCAGCTAGAGTTAAAAAGGAGCACTTACACTTACAAACAAAATAATAGCTTGAAAATCTGATGATCCAGTGTTAACAAATCAGGCTCTATTAAAAAAATTCAATTATTGGCAAAAAAAGAAAACAGATAAAGGATCTTTTTTTTAAATGCAATAAATATAAAGATTTCTATTATTATAAAATAGAAATCGTTAAAAAACGATAAAAAACGTTAAAACGTTAAAAAAATGAAATTATTTAATGCAAGCAATATACTAACAAAGATATGGTAGACCAATAAAAAAATAAGAGAATCATCAATCAAGAATAAATATCTGACTTAATTTAGTTTTAAAGAGATTTGTTGGGTATATTTTTAAGGGGCCAATCTACGCTCAGAGCTGTGATGGATGTAATCAGAACCTTGCAGATATTTCTAGATCTGCATAAATGCTTCGAAAAATTAGGTGTGTATTTACAATTTTAACTAAAAGCAGTTATTCAACCTTCAGCAAAAAGCTTACAGGAACCCTTGTGGACTTATCTTTGAGGTTGAAACTGAGCTCGCTTTCTCAAACGTCTTGATTTAAAACATAAAATAAATATAACACATGTATACAGTTAAAATGGGAAAATAAATAAGGATATATTCCCTTTAGGCACTAAAACTAGCCAATCAGAAGCTGAGCTGACCTTCCTGTCCTCACGTGCGTTACATCACATATATTTTTGAAAACATTTTTCCAGTTAAGATTTCAGAGAAAAAAAGAAAGAAAAACCGCCACAACTCGGTAACAACTTAAAAACTAGGAGGACTCACTGGTTGCTACAGTCCAGGGGATTTTAGACACAAACACCTCCAACACTTTCTTAGACGGGGCCGCCATCTTGCTTCCTTGAGATGCTACTCTGACCTCTGACGTCTATGGACACGTGGGTCCCGCCGCCAGCGTGCTACGTCATGGCCAAGATGGCGGCCTCCATGGTCGCAGAAAGCGGAGAGGATGTTTTTAAGAAAATGTTTAAGTTTTATAAAAGAAGGGAGCCTCCTCCAGACCTCAGGGATGTGACAGACTTTGGCAGCGGAGCAACAGCAGGAGGAAAGGTCTCTAAAATGATTCAAATGTGAATTAAACCTAGAAAAATAATAAAATATGTTACTATAGACCTGGAGATAAAGGGAAACGTCGATGTTGACCGATATATATGTTGTGTTTAAACTAACAGATTGTCCCATTGAAACTGGATCCGGTTGCTGTAAGTGATGAAGAGGCCGCAGGCGTTGGTTTACAGCCCGTCAGAGACTGGAGAGCTTTCGGCTTGCAGGGGTACCCAGGTATGTGGTTCTGAAAGGATGGTTTGGGGGAGCTTCTCTTTAATTTCTACCCTAAAGGGAATCAGAAGATCTAAATCAAAACAATGCACATGTCCCACTCAACTCTTATGTCTTTTTAGGCTTTATTTTCATCTCCAATCCTTTCCTTCGGGGCTCCCAGGCTTTCTGGGTCAGGCAGTGTTTGAAGACATACCCTCAGAAACCAAACGTTTGCAATCTGGACATGCATATGTCACTCTGTGAGACGCAGGACATCTGGGCCAAGAGTGTGCAAGCCATCCGGTAAGGGAAGCTCTGAGTATATTTACCCAATGGGGTAAATATCAGTAAGCAGAGACAGCAGTTGCTTAGGGGCCCCTGACCTCTTAGGGGCCACATCACTGATACCTGGTTGGCCCCCTATGCAATTGTCGACTAGGACGTCTCTTTGCAGACGTAATGGTGCAAAAAATTCCTCTTAAACCCACCTGATATTGAAGTGACGGACTGCACCGGACCTTATTTATACCCCAATACATGCCAGATTTCAACATGATGGTGAGCCGTTTAAACACGACACTGATAGCAAAGCAGACAGTGGTACTTTTAATTACTATGTTAATAACTGTGTATAGTTCACTAGACGGTTGTTTATCTAATAATATGTTTCAAACCGCAATAAACATCATAAAAGAACAATGTATTAGAGTATTTTATTTTTTACACTAGGACTTGGAATTATGGGTAATCCGGTGCGTAGATTAAAACCATATCTGTTACATAGAATGTGTTAGCGACGACGGATACCAAAAAGAGGCACTTAAGCGGATTCCTGAAAAGAAAAAGGAAAGAAGAGCTGCTGGAAGAGCTGAAAAAACGTAACAAAATAAACACGTTCTTTCAAAGAACCGAAGAGGGTGAGGTTGGCGTTGCTGCTACAGTGAGTAAATATTGCGACCAGGAGATGAATGGAGAGAGCGTCAGTGAGGAGGGGGGCTGTGAAGCTCAAGGTAGCCCGATGAGCCTGATAAGACTCATTTTACAGCAGAATACACTAAAGCTGTCACCAATGGTTCCATTCGTGGTGCGCAGTCACTATTTTTGGGTGTGAGGTGTGATCATATACTACTGAGAATTGCATAAGTATATCTTCTTGGCCGATTTATTGAACCGTTGCCCTATCCTGAACCTTTATCATGTGTTGTACTTCA